ATATATATATATAAAACACATCGCCTTCAGTCGGGTTGATGAACGTTTCAAGAAAAACCAAATCGATGCATATGCTACACTATTTCGCTGAACCTATTGAACTGAACAATTTTTTCTCTTCAACAGTTGGCATAATAAGAGATTTTGCAGTTTTTTCACTCCATACATACTAGTTTTTCTTGTTGAAAAGTGTTCAGTTTAGTTGAACTGGTTACATACTTGGGGTACCATAAATTTCATTGTTCTTCAAATTCTTATCAATACAAGCGCAATTCATTTTATAAATAAAATAACTATTTCAACTATTACCATACGCTTAAAAAGCTTACTTTAAGACATTTAATGGATGTATAGTGTAGTCACATATTCTACACTTGGACTACCTTTGTTCAAACTCGAAGGGTACACCGAAGTAAATTGTTTATTTACGTCACCATTGCAAAAAAACTATATTGTCCTTCAATGCCCCATTTGATATTCTCGATAAAAAAAAAAAAAAAAAAAAAAAAAAAAAAAATCACTCTAAAAGCCGGATATTCGCTTGTACAAGTAATAATCACACTCAAAGTTTGATGGCTTATTACCTGTGTTGGTTTAAATGCCCGGCGAATCGCATCCAACGATCTCGATTCGAAGCGAAGCCTCGCAACTGTAAACCCCACGTACCGTAGTGGGCACAGATATGGGCAGGCCATACCTCGAAAATACTTGTTCGACCCGTTAAATCGGCACAATGCAAGAGTCCGAGGCTTATCTCGGCTCAAAAAGAGCCCGCGCACGTATACGCGAAAGCACACAGACGTCCAACCACCGGGAGGCCCGTATGTACAAGCTCGCAAGTTCGGGGCGTGGGGAGGAGGTATGTACGAAGCTCTCGGGGAGTTGGAAGCATGTACTCGGAGCCGTTTGAGAGCCTCTGCGCAAACAATCTAGTCGAGCAGCGACGCGTGTGACGCGCAAAATGCGGGCGAGAGAGAGCCCCTTCTTTTTCTTCTCGCGTCGTTCGTCGCTACCCTACTTTTCTCCCCCTCGGGGGGGGGGGGACAGAGCGGCCGGACGCCGGCGTCGGGATAATTGCGAATAACAGCGCGACAAACGGCTCATGCCGCTTCGGACGGAGGGATTTACTTCGGATCGCGGGATGCTCCAGCGCATCGGCTCCCCCCCCGTGCACCTACGTACGCTCGAGCACAGCTGATGTCGTACAAGTCTGACCTTTTTTCTCTCCCCCACCCTGGGAGCGAGCGCGGTGACTTTTGGGGGCCTGCGAAGTACACCTACGGGGGCACGATTGATCGTCTAAAGGACAATTATTTACCGAGATTTTACCGCCGCTCCGGAACACTTTGTAACGGAGTTTGGATTGTTTTCCGAGAAGGAAAGGAGAGCGAGTCCTGCACTTGACTCCTCCCTCCCCCCCTCGGTTCGAGTGATCGAGCTTCCAGCGGGGCAATGATCCGAGAGGCCAATTTTTCACAATTATTTTGCTCGACGTAACGCTTATACGGAGACCAACGATGGTTTTCCGCGCACAACCTGCCTCTCTCGCTTCTATATACGGAGCACACGTATACGATACGTCTACAGGCACCGCGTATCAGCAACTGACGGAAATCATAGTGTCGGACAAATGGCTGCGGGGCATCTTTGGCATGCGCGCCTCTAAAACTGGACCGTGTATTTGCTCTCGTGATTTTTCGCTTCGACGCCCCTCCTGTGTAACATTCAACCTCCGTATCGACGAGATGGTCCAAAATCGGTAAACAGTGTACTCGTATACCAGAAGAACTCAGCTGCTTTTTATTCCCAAGTATACGCGATACGAGAAGTACAGGGGGTTGGTACATAGATCCGGAGTGCATGGGTGTATATAGGCGCACAGGAGTCACGCGTCAATCAGACTGTAATTCCAGAAGATTAAAACGCTCGTGTGTTGCCGTTCCTTGCGCTTCGCGTGTGCCAAATTCGCAGCGAGGGCTCCTGATTAATCTCTCCTTTCGGGGGCAGCCTGCCATGGCTTTTTTTCCCATCCCCCTTGGAGCTTTTATCTCGCTCCTCCGGAGTTTAGCCGCCTGCGGGAAATTTTTTTTTTTTGCCCATATACAACGAAACATATATAAAAATCACATTTTCGAGGAAAAAAAAAACTGCACATTGAAATTTCCAAATTTATTTGAAGAAAAAAGAGGTACTGGGGGTCTCTCGGAAAAACAAAAAACAAAAAAAAAACAGCACTTTGGCAAAAACAACAACACCTACGCCATCCACTCCGACAGATTAACGCCCGTACCTATACGGCGTTGGTGTACAGGATCGGCAGGGGGTATACACACAAGTACGGTACATGGGCTTGAAAAAAGCAACTCGCGCGAAAGGGGCACTCATACGAGCAAAAATATAGAGAAAGGAGGGGAAAAAAAAAGGAAAATGACAAAGAGAAGAGTCATCATCGGCGTAAACGTCTTTTGCATGCAGCCGGGGAATCATCATCGTTCAGCCGAAAAAGAGAGGTAAGGGGTGGGGAAGAAAGAGAGGGCGGCATAAGCCCGCTTCCACCCTCCGGGCACCCATCAAACAGAGGCATTAGGCTTGATCCGGCGCGCGATGTTCAGCCAAGCGGATGACAACGTACTCGGGCTCTTTCCTTTCTCTCTCTCTCTCTGGGAATGAGAGAGAGAGAGAAAAGCTTAAAGCTGCCCGCACCACCCACCCATCGACACTCGGTTGCACTTTAACCTCTTTCACCCGGCTCGTACATATATGTATACAGGCAGACTGTGCGATTTTCACCCCTGCCTCGAACTATTAATTACCCTTGCGGCGTAATGACCGAAAGGATCTGCCCGAATCAGATCTCCGGTCGAGCCAAAGTGGTTATATATGTATACGATATGAGCTGTAGTCAGGTGATGAATGTCTCTCTCCATTATTTGTACAGTACATTATGTATACTAGGAGAGGGAGAAAAAAAAAAAAAACCTTGGTTGGGTTGTTGCAGGTCACCCGCACTTCTTCAACCAGCTGTCGTGCGGCTTGGATCTGGTCTCGATGGCCGGCGAGTGGCTGACCGCAACCGCAAACACAAACATGTTCACGTACGAGATAGCCCCGGTGTTTATCCTGATGGAGCACGTGGTGCTGCACAAGATGCGGGAGATCATTGGGTGGCCGAACGGCGTAGGTGACTCGATTTTGGCACCCGGTGGCTCCATCAGCAACCTATACGCCTTCCTCGCGGCCCGCCACAAGATGTTCCCCCAGTACAAGGAGCGCGGCCTCTCCGCCGTCGGTGGCCAACTGGTCATGTTCACCTCGGACCAGGTACACCCCTATCTATATAATATATATACCTGCAATGTATGCATAGATATATGTATGTGGTAAAATGAAAAAATGTTTCGGCAGTGCCACTACTCGGTAAAGTCGTGCGCGTCGGTGTGCGGCCTGGGCACGGACAACTGCGTGATGGTGCCGAGCGACGAGCGCGGGCGCATGATACCCCAACGGCTCGAGGAGCTGATAATCGAGCGCAAGGCCAAGGGCCACATACCCTTCTTCGTGAACGCGACCGCGGGCACTACGGTCATCGGGGCCTTCGATCCCATCGCGGAAATTGCCGATATCTGCAAAAAGTACAACTGCTGGCTCCACGTCGACGTGAGTACCATTGTCCTACTCCTACTACTTTTTTTCACCCTCGAGAGCGCGACTTGATTGAACGGAAGCAGCTACAACGGGACGTGTGTGCGGTCGAGGCCGGCTATATCCGTACACCAGCCCTTTTGTAACTCTCCAGCATACATATATAGTGACGCGCGCCCCGTAATGGAAAAAAATGTTAGCCGAGAGGATCCCCCATGGATTGATGGCCGGATATACCGGTGTTCTTGTTTTCTCCTCCTTTTTTCCTTTTTTTTCTTTTTCTTTTCTTTTTTTTTTTTTTTTTTTTTTTTTTTTCACTCATCATCACGTAAGATTGACAAAAGGATTACCATGTGGATGGCTGAACGCCGATACTTTAACAAGCATTAAAAATGTCCAATATTAACGGAAAAAAAATTGTAAAACAAAGCCTCTTTCCGTTCGTTTAGGCTGCCTGGGGCGGTGGACTGCTGTTGTCGAGGAAATACCGACACCCAAGGCTGACGGGCATCGAGAGGTAAGTACCCGAGCAGATATTCCCCTATATATACCCATACATTGACGTTTAAGGTCAAAGAAAGCGCCAACTCACTTAAAACCCGAGTCTGAGTTGGCGCCTTCTCGAAAGCAATTTCGAGTTGGCGCTCTCTTTGACCGTGTCTGACCGAACGCTGGCATGTACTACTTGAATGATTGAAAAAAAAAAAAAAAGTCGAGAAAGCGTTCGTCACGCCTGTGGGGCGCAAATTAAAAATAAATCACACCCCCTCCGCTCCCGCGAGTGGTGTTTACTTCATAGTCAGCCTCGCACCTTCACCCCCCCCCCCCCCCCCCCCCCCCCCCCCCCCCCCCCGATAACGACCCGCGTGCAAAGTTGAGCGAACCAAAAAAAAAAAAAGTTGGAGCAAAATTAGCATCTCCCGGTAAATCCCAGCCAGCTCTATATAGGGTATAAGCGTGGTTTATGCGGGCTATCCATTACGGGCCAACTGGCTCCTGTTCTTTTTTCGTCCCTCCGGTCTTTCCTCCCTCCTCCCAAGCGAAGCTATTTTCTTCGCGATCCGCACCACTCGGGGGCGCCGTATTGATTTTGACGCGTTGAACGGGCGAAGGTTGGCGGGAGAAGAGCCCACTCAGCTGCGACTGTTTTTCGAAGGACTCCATCAAACTAAGCCTCAAATAAACTATAAAACTAGGGATTAGGCCGAGACAGGAGCGCCCACCCCGTACTACATCTATATATGTTTATACCCTATACACGTATATATCCCATCCCTCTTTTCTCTCGTGTCGGTGGACGTGTATATGTATCCATCTATCTGTCCATCTGTTATAATACACAGTGTACGTGACTTTTACCTATACATGCAAATGTATATACGATTGCGTGTAGAGGACAGGTCGCCGGGCGGTGTATCGCAACGAGGCAGCAGTTACCGATCGAAGGAATTACACCGTCACTCGGTACGGGACTGTTGGAGGTGTAGGTACTTTAGCGCACTTTGGGTGCCCGCTTATGAAAATAATCGGATTTCGGGCCGACGGGGCTAAAAGCTCGAGCCCCGATGGCTGCGGACGCGTCAACCAATCGACGGGCTTCGCAACATTTTCAGACTCCCTCTTTATTGAGCTCTACATTTTTTCAGCCCCCGAGCCTAAGGATACCTATGCACGTATATTACAGGGGCTTTTCCAGAAAGCACACTATTATTTTTTTTACAAACAAAGGGAGCCCCTATTATTCATACCATTTTTTTTTTTTTTTTTTTTTTTTTGTATTATGTACAAAGATGAAAAAAAAAGTCACGCGTCGCGAACAAAGAAAATGTTCGGTAAACGCACAACGAAAAAGGCGGATCGGCGGGAAATCGGGATAAAATAAAAACACGCGCGAGGCGGTAAAAAAGGAGCATCGAGGTCAGGGATGCCCCGAACAAAAAAAGCAAAGGGGAGCGGTATGGAGCAAGGACAGGAGCAGTGCGCAGATGCGGCCGGATGCAAATCACGGATTAATCTCGGCAGCCCCATATGCATCGCTTCACAATACTTCCTCCTCCCCCCCCCCACACACACACCATGTATACACGTGAGCGCGTATGCCTGTGTGTATAGTGGGTGTACAGCAGGCACGCGATGACGTATAGTGCCAGGGACACGAGTCACTCCTTTCGAGAGAGATGCTCCCCTTCCGACGTCACAGATTACCGACACGTATATATACACCCGTGCGAGTGTCCCTTTTCTTCCGAGGACGGCCCCAGGCTCGTCCCTAACGGTGTATGTACAGTGCACAATCCTGTGTGTACCAACAACTCCGACGTGTCGTGCACTTGCGATGTCTAAATGCTTTTATCTGGTACCCTCGAATCGAGAACACGGGTATTGAATTAAACGGATTTCACGGCCGACCATCCGCGCTTTCTCACATATACATGTACAACATGGCTCCAGTAAAATTTAAAAAAATCCTCGTTTCCCAACCAAAGCTCGCATAACTAATTGGCCTATGTTTCGCTGATGATTTTTCTTCATTTTTCTCCTCCCTGAGAGACGCGCATCAAAGTGCAAAATAATACCCGCTGCTTTGTCCTCGTATAGTTTTTGCGTGCTCTTCTTCTTCCCATTGTTTTCTATTATTTTTTTTTTTCTCTCTTCTTCTCCCCAAATGCCGTTCTTTCCCCCCCCCCCCCAGTGCAGGATTTCCTTCCTGCCCGGCCGAGCTCGGGGTTTTTGATTAAAATGGCAAGCGAAAAGGAAGCAGCGAAGAGAGAGGGGGGACCAGTGCAACAGCTGGATCCGTTCCCTGGAGCGCATTTACCGGGAACACAGAGAGACTCGGCTCTTATTGACGCGCACACTTTTTTTTTTTTTTTTTATATATATATCTATACCTACCATGTAGCAATTGTGCAGCTCGTAGACGCGCGACGCGGCGCTTACGTATATACACAACGACAGAGTGTGCCGGATTAAACTCGCGAGAGCACAAGGGGGCTTCTTTCTGTCCGTCTCCCCTTTCGAGACGCGAGTATATTCGGAACATTGCTTAGCCGGGAGAGCCAAAATACACCCCCGCGTCGACTCGCGAGGAGGAAGACTTTTTTTTTTTTTTTTTTTTTAATTTCCAAAAGCCCGAATCACAAATTACCGGTCGTTTGTGTACTTGCGTTCTTGTTTTTTTCAAAAATTCCATCTACGAGCTGTGTATAACTCCCTATGCTCCTTTCCACGCGCAAACCATTATACGACGGCGAGGGCGCTGTAAAATCTCGTCGCAAGAGCTGTACCACCACCGTATATACACACAGAGAGAGGGGTGCTCGGATAATTAGCATCACCCCGCATACATACATATATATATCCTCGGGTGGCTTTTGGAGTTGGCAGCCAAGGCTGTATTACGTGTGTACGCAATGGGGTGGTGCACGCGCCAGCCCCAGCTGCGAGTCGCATTAATCACGCGAGGCTCCATAGGCGCCGGGTGTATCCTTGTCAAAGACGCGCGAAACGCTCTCTCCTGCCGCAATTGCCGAAGAATGCGGTGTACGGCCTGGGAGGGGGGGGGGTCGATGCTGCACACATATATAGCCCCCGAGGGTCCTTTTAAATTTGGTTATACATATGTGTACGGGAGAGCTCGGCCGCCGCTAATTTCGCTTGGAATCCGGTTTAGGAGAGGCTCCGCTCGTTTAATTGTTTGCCCACGGCCAACACACGCGTTTGGTTAGCTGTACAAGTATCTGTTGCGGCTGTTTACAAACGACACCGTACGAGGGACGAGAGAGGCAAATAAATTTAAATATAGAGGAAAAATTGATGGAAAATTTCGTGAGGAGGGATTAGCGCAAAAAAAAAAAAAAACGCGTCTCCGGCATATAGGTCGGATAATCGTGACAAATGTTATCGATACGCGGCGGTCCCGGCGAGTGACACATGCCACCCCGTACCGTATATACTGGGTAACGTTTCGAGAGGAGCCTCGAGAGCCCTGCAAACAGTCGAGCCCGAAGTAATTCGTGTCACACGCAGACCACTCCCAGATAACGCTGTCGCTTGTATATATGTACGTAGGTACACATTAACCGTGTGTACACTTTATTTGTGAATCTCCGCTGGCGCTGGGCCATTCGTTTCAAGTGGTGCGAGCATCCAAATGACGAGCGCGTATACGAAATTCGCTGTGGAGGAAGAATTTCAGAGACGAGGATTGAAAACAAAAAGTGCCGTTCGCGCTGATTCATCGAGACAAATGGTTATGCGATGGCACATATAGCCCGACTGAGGTGGAGGAGCCCACAGGGAGTCGAAGGGTTACCGCGAGGGCGTGTCTGCACTGTACGTGTTGGCGAGGCTCCGCGTAAATCCGGTATAACCACCCCGTGCAGCCATATTGATCGAGTAATAGCCCTGGCTCGCCGTTGGATTGATAGAGCCACCGCCGAGGAGAGCTCTCATATATTTTACTCCCCATTAGCTCTCCCGGGACGGAAGGAATAAGCATTTAACCGAGAAGGAAACTCCCAGCTGAGGCTAACTTCTTTCTTTCTTTCCTTTTTTTTTTTTTTTTCCCTCCCTGTCATTGTCCGCTCTCGGAGCAGCTTTTCTGTCTTTCGCTCCTTTGTACACGCTATACATATATATACTTTTGTCTGGCGCACGCTATACGTATGGGCTGAATGGCCTGTCAAATGCCCCGATTGTTCTACAGTGGATCGACTGGCTGGGATTTGTGCTAAGGGGGAGGAGTCTGCTAATTGCGCAAGTATGATTGATTGCCGATGTGGATTTGAGCACCAAGAGAGGGGGGTGTGGGTGAAATTTGGCCCCTCGAGTTTGCGCAGCGAATTTACCAGGGTCAATGATATTTTGCTTTATGAAATATCGCCGTCATTTCATCCAAAGTGATTGTCAATATTATTATTATTATTATTATTATTATTATTACGATTTCAGGGCTGATTCGGTGACTTGGAATCCTCACAAGCTGATGGGCGCCCTGCTCCAATGCTCCACCATTCATTTCAAGGATGACGTGAGTTTTTTTAATTTAAAATCGTACGAATAGGTGCACCTATAGCGAGAGAGCCCCGTGTACGAATGCAGGCCGGCAAATAATGTACGGGGAATGCATGACGGGGCGCCTTTCTTTTTTTTTTTTACTCATCGACGGGCACCCCCTATAGAGCGCGAAGTAGACAAATGACTCGCTGGAAAAACGCGCTCCACATTTTTGGCTTCCGGATTCCGGGCGAGTAGGTGTACCTATACCTCGGGGGGAAAAAAAAGTGCGCGCTCGAAGGGGCTGAAGTTGTTACAGTTACCCTCGCGCGCATGACGTGTAGGATAGGTAAGTACATCGACGGCGCTCCCGCGGCACATTCCGTCGAGCAAGACGAAACGACGAGCCGGGAGGGGGGGGGGCAAGTTTGTCGGTGCCACGCGAAGGAATTTAATTAAACTAAGAGATAACATGTGTTGCCACCCCCTGCCGATATATATGGCGGACGCGGGAGAGAGAGAGAGAGAGAGAGAGGGTGCCGACAGTCGCCCCCTCGCTCTCTGCGCGCGCCCACGTCTAGTTATTGCTAACTCGAATTCTCCCGCTCGGAATATTAAAATTCCGGGCACCGGCTGCTACTGCGACGTGTCCGAGCGATTCGGCCGATTGTTTTTCTATGCCTCGCAGCTTCTGTGCCTACTTACACGCTGTAACGCGGGGGGGGGGAGGGAGGAGGGTAAAGGGGAGCGATGTGGGAGCACGTGTGACACCCCCCACCATTATACATTTTTTTTTACAATTGTTCGTGATTTTCCGTGAAACTTTTTTTAGGCCAACCGTGTGTCGGGACTAATTTATTTATTTATTTTTTTGGTTTCGCCTGAGAATGATTTTTACCACTTTATTTATTTTAACACCTACTCTGTTTTGAATAAATTATTACTTCATTCTTCGTAAAATGAGACTACGGTGTGTGTGTATAAATATAGATGTGGCTGAAAAGCTTGAAACGCTAGTGCCGCCATTTTGAAAGCTCGATATCCTTGACTTCCGCTTCGAGCGCATGTGCTAACTCCACTTATTGACCGAGACCCCTTAGAAGCTTTTAGAGACAATTTGAATGGAACTGTTGATCCAGTTTTTTTACTCCTTCCTTTTTCCTTTTATTTTTTTTTTTTTTTTATTTAATTAATTTGAAAGTATATGAAATCTACAGTGTAAATGATTAGTACCTTAACGTACTCCTTTATTTATTTATTTTTTTGTTTTTTTCAAAAGTACGAAGTTCGATAATATAATTTCATTATTTATCAAATTCCCATTGATATTACCGCAACAACGCATATCATAAAAAATATACCTCATAGCGCCGCGCTTTGTTACATGTCAGCACTCTTGAATTGTCAACGATAAAATTAACAATGGTTGAAGGAAAAAAAAAAAAAAAAAAAAAAAAAAAAAAAAAANTCCCATTGATATTACCGCAACAACGCATATCATAAAAAATATACCTCATAGCGCCGCGCTTTGTTACATGTCAGCACTCTTGAATTGTCAACGATAAAATTAACAATGGTTGAAGGAAAAAAAAAAAAAAAAAAAAAAAAAAAAAAAAAAAAAAAAAACGATATGAGAAACAATAATACGTAAACTGCAGGGTCTGCTCATAAGTTGCAATCAGATGTCAGCAGAGTACTTGTTCATGACGGACAAGCTTTATGACGTTAAATACGATACGGGCGACAAAGTTATTCAATGCGGTCGGCACAATGACATTTTCAAGCTGTGGCTTCAATGGCGCGCCAAGGTACTTTCTTTCATTAAAATGCCGTACATATACCGAGCCGGATAATCTCTCGCGGGAGTTACTTTTGAAAACCCTTTAAAAACCCACGACGACAATGCAGGGCAACGACGGCTTCGAGGAGCACATGAATCGACTGATGGAACTGACGGAATACATGGTGCAGCGCATCAAGCAAATGTCCGATAAATTTTACCTCATACTCGAACCGGAGCTTGTCAATTGCTGCTTCTGGTATTTGCCCACACGCCTGCGAAACATGCCACACACGGCCGAGAGGGAGAAACTTTTAGGGGAGGTAAACTAAGCTGCTCGATTCGAATTTAGAAAAAAAAAAAAAAAAAAAAATCATTTATACAAAACTCACTGAAACAAAAAACGATTTTTTTTATGGCCACAAGATATGTCCAATTTTGAAAGGCAGAATGATGGAAGCTGGTACTCTGATGGTTGGCTATCAGCCGGACGACCGGAGACCCAATTTCTTTAGAAACATTATTTCAAGCGCTGCCGTCACGGAAGCCGATATTGACTTTTTGTTGGCCGAAATGGATCGTCTCGGGCACGATCTGTAAATCTTACGAAATCAATTACACGAAACGTAGACGAGCGACTGAAGGTGCAATCGTAACTTTTTGGAATTTTTTTTCATTGTTAATTGTTACAAAATGTCTATCTTCTATTTTGTTGTCGACAGAATTTTTAGTCGAAGGTATTGTTTTATTTATCATGAATTAGGAGTTTATTAGATCCTCTATCGTAGTAGTTAAAATTTACTGTCAAGCTTCTCAAGCTGTGAAAAATCCTCATATGCATATCTGAGATGACCTGATAATCTTTTATGGAGCTGATATTTTGGTTAAAATGTTTTGTAATGTTTAAATATTACCGAGGATTAGGTAATTGCTTCTTCCAAATACTACGTGTAACGATATACTGCTTGTGTATACGTTATAGAATCAGAGTATTTGCCTTAGTCAATTTACAGTACATATAAACAAATTGGCTTTGACTTTGAGTTTAGGGTAAAATTACTATATATATAAAAAAAGAAATAAATTAACTGAAGCAATTAACCATTAAATATAAAGTTAGAGTGTATTAAACGTTAAAAAATAATTGATATTTATAAGAATTAAAGAAAGTATTGAGTATGGAAAAAAAAGAGAATGGTACGATGGTGCTTAGAAAAACAAAACGTTTTACAACGACCTGTACCAAAGCTGGCCATGAAAAGAATGCATAAAAATGAGATCATCGCGTGACTCTTATGTATAGCATGTAAGATAAAAAAATTAGACTTAAGCGAAAAATATAGTATGCAGCATGTCCAACCAAGAGAAACGAAGAAAGAAACCGTACATCCAGAAAATTTGGGTTTTAGATAAATATATATATNAAACTAATGCACCTTTTCCGCTCGAGCGTGCGTCCTTACGCATATTTGGAGATACCCTAATTAGGTAATTGTTTTAAAAAGGCCGAGCCATCAATTACCCAACCAAGTAGCCATTGCTGCTTCACCTCGTGCCGCTGTTGCGGAAGAAATAAAAAGCCCCGCAAAAATGGGGGAGGGGGGGGGGGTAAATCGAAGTGCAAAAATATATGTTTTACACAAATTCTATTTTCATCCGAATATTTTTCAACGAAACTTTAATTAAAATTTCTCAATCTCCTTTTATTGATTAAAGTCTAACGTAATATAATAAATAAGTACAATGAAACTGAGAATACGAACATATACTCCGTTGAGTGACTAATACTTGTTACAGAGCTGAATATAGGTTTGTTTGGAATGTGAATTATATTTATTATGCAGGCAAAAGCTGTATTTTATCCAAACTGTACGTGTAATTTCCAACGAATTGCCATCAAAGAAATATGTATACTTGTACTACAGTTTACTAATTCGATGTTAAACTATTAAAACAAGTTGTTGCTACAGGACATTTTTTTTTTTTTTTTTTCATTTAGTATTTCATACAGAAACTTGTTGATTATTCAATATAATTTATGTTAATCTCTATTATTATCTGCTTCTATGGTCATATTTGAGAAAAAATTTGTAAAAGGTAATAAACTTAATTTTTTGTTCATGTTACCGTTACGTTCAGCAAATTCTTTGCTACTTATACCTGAATTGTTAAAGTAATACAAAATAGTTGAATAAAATGTACACTTAAATATATGTAATTATAAAATTATATTTAGCATCTAGATTTGAAGAAAATAAACACAAACCCATGAAAGTACATGCTTTTTCAAAACAAACAAAAAGTATTCCGCAAATTAGAAAAATCTTTTCAAAATCATTCTACGTATGTTGTACATTAGATAAAAATTCTCATGCTTACAGTAAAACAATGAATAGCTCTTGAGCTCTTTTTTCCAACAATATCATTTCAAAATCATGGCATTTTCATGAAATGGTCAATACTTAAGAGCCTAACCTTTAAAGCTAGAATTATTTGAAAATAAAATATGACAGGAATACTCCTTTATGTATGAGCGTATGAATGTGTTAGCAACGCAGCCTTATTGCATGTAGTAAGAGCGTGGGTAAATAAACGCGAGTGAAAAATGATTGGAAATAGAGTGCAGCGTCGGACCATTCACTATATCTTGCACACAGACAATTTTTTTCGTATGATTTTGAAAAACGAATTCAATCAAATAAGACGTAGTTTAATTTTAAAAGAAATAATATACATCGTTATCAATGTACGCGAAAAAATAATTTAAAAAAGCAAACGAGTTTGTGTTTTTTAGAAATTGCTACTTCCGTTGAGATTACCCATTGTACAAAACAATATTAAATAAAAATTAATGTTCTATAATACATGGTAGAACTGTATTATAGAAAGCAAGTATCAAACCACTATTTTTTTATTTTTTAGCCAATTAACGTATACATTCATGTAAGTAACGAAAAATGCCAGTAAATAAATGTAAACAATGGGAAAAGTTTATTAAGTTATGGATTTTTGTCATATAATATTTAAGTTATTTTATAATTTAATTTGACTTTCAAAAAAAAAAGATCGATGATGATAATTATTTTTCTTCATGTTTTACTAAAAATCAAAGTTCAATGTAAATAAATGAATCTTACGCGCTCATATTATGCTATAGCCGTTGAGGTTGCCTTAGGCAGTTTTTAAAAAATCGTGAAAGATGCCAGTCCAGTAAGAATAAAGTATTGAGTAATCAGACACTGTACCATAATGCAAATACCACTGTAAACTATAACGAGACAATTAAATTTTCATTCGTAGATATAGCCAACAGAAATAAATGCACCACTAAATAATCCACACTTTCGCCATATTTTAACGCAAACAATTTTTTTTGTTTTTTTGTTTTGTTTTCGTAGATAGTGAAAAAAAAAATTTGTAAAGTCAATCTACTGTATAAAGTATAAGTATTTACAACAGAAAAAACGCTATTTTTATTGGAAGTGTATAATTTTTGAAAGTAAAAGAACTTCCAATAGATGCTCCGAGATTAACGTCTTGCAGTTGTTAAATTCGCGATTTTCTCTTCGAATCGCGCCTGTACTCAATTGAGCTTTCCGTTTTTATTTGAGCCAAATTCCTAATCAAATTTATAAATCCTTTAATAATTAAATCATTGATCTGTTTGTGAGAAAATAATTCCGTCAGTACTTACAACCACTGGTGACTGATTTATGCAATATACTTGTGTATAATTTGTTATACCTAAAATTTCAATGGTTATATTTATATGATTTTGAAATTGAAAATTATTGTAACCTTTGCCTGTGATAGAATAAGACATGTGTTTGTTGTCTAGATAAATTTATTCCTTTACACGTAAAGGTGGCTTGTCAATTCCATGCTTTGCAATGCAGTACATATGCCGTACACAATGTTTAGTTGACAATAATTTAAAACGAAACGTTATATCGTCTACAACATAGTTATTTATTAATTTACGCATTTATTGTGTTGTGTTGCTGTAATTATAATTAAAAATAAAAGGCTCGAGTATATGGCTTTAGAGAGATAAAAAAAAAAAAAAAAAAAAAAGATAATCAAGAGAAAGATAATGATAAACTATGACGCTGATTGGTTTTTCAGTCATCGTTGAATGTTGTTGATTATGCATATTATATCGTATATTGTAAGGAACGAGTTAAACTTAAAATCGTGTGGATAAACAGCAAAATCCAACGTCTTCCAAAATGACAATTAATAATATTAATAATAGCGTACATGTAAGAATAAATGCAACGTTGATTTAATCGTTTATTAATTTAAAGTTTAGGTGCATGCAACGCATGTGAAAAAACAACATTGCGTACCACACATTATGAAAAAAAAAAAAAAATTACTTATTCCAAATTACCTTGTGTATATCAATGTCTAATAAAATAAACTGCTGTTACCTCACGCTGTGTTTAACATTTATTTTGAGCCCATACCGCAGTACCCATCCACATTTTTCATGAGAAGATGGTACATGAATTATTACGAATAGCCACGACACTTGCGCAATTCAGCTGTAAAATGTTGAGTCAAGTTCGGTAAGAGTAATACCTACTTGTTTCTAAACCAAGGAAAAATCATCAAGTGCTCGGACATTCCAAAATACTTTGATCGAATCCACAACAAAAACAGGGAAGACCTGTTTTTCCGTCGGCGACGGGTGTGACTCGAGTCGTTGCATACATTATCGGGAGTAAGAGCCCGTCGACCTCGAGGCGAGCCCCCATGCGTATGATAATCCACGGAGATGCGTATACACACGTAACGGACGATCTAGCGCGACAGAGTTACCTTGCCCGGCATCCCGATCGAACGTTGTTTCACGTCCCAGAAATGAAGTCTTTCATCGAGTATTCCGCCGATTGCGGGTTTCCCATACAAAATCTGCCGTACGGTGTATTTTCCACCGCCAAAAACGTAAGTCTTATTTTAAAATTTTTTATTTTTTATTTATTGCTATCTCTGTAAAATCCAAGTTATTTCGGGAGGTTACGTGAATGGAATAAGATAACTGTGCGTGAATCAGTAATAATCATTTTACGCTTCTCAATAGATCATCCATACAATCATTCGTTATCTATTTGTTTACACCGATAACTAACACCGACTACATCTAATAGAAATAAAAATCAGCGTTTACTGGTGCGATATTTATGAGGAATCGCGATATTGGCTTCGATATGAAAACAATTTTTTTACTCCAAAATTTCCTTCGCCGCGAGCCATCTAACGTTCGCGATGAAAAATATGAGAGAACGTTGATAACTTAGAAATCTACGATACCGCACAGTTTACCCGGCCGGTAAACGTGATTAACCTATTTTAACATCTGCTTGTAATGTAGTAATCCGACATACTTCATTGATTTTTTAAATGAACCCTTTATTTCAAAAATACATGTATCTTTCACAGCCTGACAAAAGAATCGGTGTCGCTATTGGGGACCAAATTTTAGATCTATCTGCGACAGCGCATCTCTTTACGGGGCCATTGTTGGCCAAGAAGCAAGACGTTTTCCGCCGCGACTGCCTCAACGACTTCATGTCGCTCGGCAGACCGTCGTGGCGCGAAGCCAGAGAAACGTTACAAAACTTGCTGGCCGCCGAAAATAAAACACTACAGCAGCCAGAAATTAAATCAAAGTAAAAAAAAAATGTTTTGTAATTTTATTAGTTTTTTCAAACTAAAAGTAAAAAAGAACGACTGTGAGAACGTGACGTGATTTCTACAGAGTATTCGTCCCCCAAGCGGAGGCGACGATGCACCTGCCAGCCAAAATCGGGGACTACACCGATTTCTATTCCTCGATCCATCACGCGACCAACGTCGGAATGATGTTCCGCGGCAAGGACAACGCACTGATGCCAAACTGGTAACAAGCAAGCATTAAACAACATCAACAGCTCTATTGTCTTGGTAAATGCAAAATAATTCATGACCTTCCAAGGAAGCACTTGCCGGTCGGCTACCATGGCAGGGCCAGTTCGGTCGTAGTCTCGGGCACGGCGCTGCACCGGCCTCGAGGTCAGACGCTCCCGGTCGAAGGCGCGGCTCCTCACTTTGGCCCCTCCAAGAGCATGGACTTTGAGCTGGAGGTCGCCTTCTTCGTGGGCGGCCCACCTACCCACCTCGGAGACGCGATTGATGTTAAAAACGCCCACGAGTACATTTTCGGGTTCGTCACCATGAACGACTGGAGCGGTAAATATATACAACGAAAAATTTTTTTTACCCATACGCACGAGTATGTTCGGAACTCAGAGAGCGGTGGCCTGGTTTCAGCACGCGACATTCAAAAGTGGGAGTACGTACCCCTGGGTCCGTTTCTCGCGAAAAATTTCGGCACCACGATAAGCCCCTGGGTCGTAACGGTCGAGGCTCTCGAGCCCTTCAAAGTCCCAAACATGGTCCAAGACCCCGAGCCGTTCGATTACTTGAGGCACAAGAACCCCTTCAACTTTGACATCAATTTGGAAGTTGACATCAAAAGTAAGTCGTCGCAATATATGTATATACGACTTTTGGTAGTATTGAGTGTGCCCAATGACATTTGAGATTTTTACTTTGCGTAGCTGAGAATGGCACTGTGACCACGATTACTCGTAGCAATTACAAATATTTGTACTGGACGGCGCAGCAGCAACTCGCCCACCACACCGTTACCGGCTGCAACGTCAATCCCGGCGACCTCATGGCATCCGGCACCATAAGTGGTGAAGTTAGTGCATTTGTTTTTTTTTTTTTTTTTCTCTTACTGTCCATCGATTTCTTTTACCAATTGTTATACTATTAATATAATCGTGGTTGTAGACTCCCGATTCGTATGGCTCGATGCTCGAGCTGTGCTGGAAAGGTACAAAACCCGTTAGCCTAAATGACGGCAGTCAAAGGAAGTTTTTACAAGACGGTGATGAAGTTATTATTAGAGGTAAATTTAATAACTACATTATTACAACTTTTGTCTAATAAACCTGTAGTACACTGCAACTTATGAGCACAAAAATTTTAGGTTTCTGCATTGGAGATAAGTACAAAATAAGTTTTGGCGATTGCGCAGGAAAGTTGATGCCATCAAAGTATAAAAATTAATGTTTAAATGGTGCTAAAGAAATTTTGTCGCTCAAATATTATTAAATGTAAACTTGAAATAATTGTATCTCTCTCTTTATCATTCCCGTCAAACATTCCAATCAGTAATAAAAGAAATTTAGCATAAAATGGCTTCGTCAATTTTTAATATCTCCTAAATTATTAAAAAAAAAAAAAAAAAAAAAAAAAAAAAAAAACACCAAGAGCCCCTGGAATATCGATCTTCCGCGAGGGCAGGTGTAGGGAAGGTGCTCTATACAACATACGCAGGTGCGCGATCAATACCTACTACAGTATTCACCTGGCTCCGGTCATGACGAATTCCATACTGCGGTAAATATGTGGTTTAACCCCCATTTCGCCTTGTAAATGTATATATAATATATATATGTATATTTTTTTACACGTAGTATTTTTGTTTTCGTTATCAAAACCACTACAAGATTTGTGCAACCTGTTTTTGTATGCATTATATAATCACGCAAGAAAAATTACACTTGTGCGCAGAAGCTTGCAAGCTCTGGAGTCGCTGGGTAACCAGCCGATGGCTCGCTGGGAGGTACCCCTGAACGACGGGGTGCACGTTATCGAGTTTGAACACGGCACGGCGACCGGGAGACGCGTAGTTCGCGTGGATGGCAAGGTCCTGATCAATCGCGAGTGGATGTTTCGGCTGGTGGGTGACGAGGTCTTTCAGTTTGGCGACGCCAAATTCGTCATCAGAGTCGATCCCATACCTGGTCTGTGCCTACACATTACTCGCCACTTGTCCCTCCTCCTGCCGCCCAACTCATCATATATTCATCCAGAATTGCATGTTCTAGGCTTGAAATATTCGTACACCTTGTGGGTCAATGGCAAGAGTTTCAAGAACTTCATTCAATCCCAGTCTAAAGTACTTGAAACTTGGACGACGCTCATCGGTCAGAATGAGTATAGGATTATTTTAGGTTCGTAATCGTATTGTTTTTCAACTCAAGTGATACGTGGTTATTAATTTTTTCGATTCCTCAGACAAAAACACGCAAAATGTATGGATCAACGGTGAACAGGTCGAAACGAAGGTAAAAAAAAAACAAATTTTTATTAAAAAAAGTTGCGGATGATTTATTTAACGGCGAATTAAAATTTCAGGCCGACTTTATCGACGATGGGGCTGAAATAACTTTTACGGTCGCGGACGTACCCGCAGCTATACAATCGTACAGCTCTGGACAAAGGGAAGTCGGTCTGAAATATGTGCTGTACGTAAACGACGTGGAAATCAAGGAACAAGATTTGCTATCGACCATAAATACCGAATAACTATTTGTTAATTATCGCACTTTTGTGCAATTGTGCCTTAAAATTTTATTTTCACGGTAAAGATCAGCGATTGTATAACTTCGTGTTGAATTACAGAAAATAAACCTCTCAATATTCCGTTCCATCGGCTAACTTCTCAAAGTAAATAATTAACCTAAATTTTCTTTTTCAACTTTGATAAAAAAAAAAAAAACCTTTAAAAAAATAAAAATAATAACCGCAATGGCACAACGGACGAGCGCTTTGAGCACAGCTTCGAGATTCGAAGGAGCAGACAAGCTAGAAACACATTACAATGGTGAGAAAAACTACTGAAAAACCAAGAGGGTGAATTAATAAATACGCGCATGATACATGTTGAAGAAATGACCGACGACGATTTGAGAGCTTCGGTGGAGGAAATGACGCACATCAATAGGATGTTAACGACAGAGAACGAGTTGATCGAGCAGTTCTTGCGTCGCAAAGATCCTCAGAGTTTGGAGAGTAAGTGAGATACATACATTAATATATATATACCTGTACTTGACAATGATACCGCGGAGGTGAAACGATGGTAGATAGTTTGTAAATATTAGGCAAAACGATCAATGCCACAGGCAAGAGTTATTGCTCTCAGTTCTAAGAAAAGATCGATATTTTCCACTCTTCGCTTATCTCGCGGACCGTAAATTAACCTGATGGGAATTTATGTACGTGCGCGGGTGTTGGTAACGATATAATTATAAAAGAGCCCCTTTGCTCGCTACTGCACCGTTTTATCCTCCCACTGGAAAGAAGCACATATTGGTAAGATCATGAATTGGCACTTGAACGCATTGATGATTCTCCTACTTTGTCATCAATGCGTCTATTCCGCGCCATTGGAACCGGCACCCGTGACCACTCCTGCTCCGCCGAAGCCGCACCAAGGGCCCAAAGGTACCTCTGTAACCATCATTATTTCAACGAATACAACAATACAAAGCCTCTTGCGTTCAACTAGCTGGTCCTCCTCCACCTCCACGTCCCGATGGACCAAAGCAACTGGCCACTCTGAACGGACAACAAAATTTCCAAGCGCTTCAGCAGACGATCTACATTTTCCAGTACAAGCGGAGCGAGGAAGTCCCAAAGGGCCCACGCTGTCGCAGAGGAGCTTACCTCGGACGAGCATACGTCCAACGCGAACGAGTAGCGGTCTCCGCTCTCCTCCCTCGCGTTTAGTTATCCGTAAACCACACGTACACGAGTAGACAGACGCAATAAGCGAAATGAGAAAAAAAAAAAATATATACATCTACATAGGTGTACGTTTTTCGAGGGTATAAATAAGTAAATGGTCCTCCGGTCGGTAGAGCTGTCCCTGATCGTGGAGTCGGCCCGCCAGGCCCAGAAGATCTCGCGCCGGCACGGCTCGGGCGTCAGTCTGCCCGGGAGCTACGCCAAGAGCGCCTCGTCCCGCACCGCCTCCGGCAGCCAACGGCTCTCGGTCGCGGCCCCCGCCGCCAAGGGACTCGCCGCCAAGTAAGCCGCGCGCGCGTACCGTTACGGGTGAAGCCTAGCGTGATGGGCTGCCGCGCGTGATGCCTATATACCTGGAAAGAAAAAGCTAGCTCTGCGCTTCCTTTGTTTTTTTTTTTTTCCTTGGAAAGGCCCAATTAAAATTAACCTGCTTCTTCCCGACTCTCGAGCAGATTGACGGCTGCCCACAGGACCGAGTTGGCCAACAGGGAGGTGGACCTGATGCGGAGGGAGTGGGCCAGCTTCGAGGGCCGGTCCAAGAAGGAACGGCTGAACGGCGAGATCCGCCTCGAGGAGCTCAAGTACCGGCTGAGGGACATGGACGAGGCACTCCGGAACTTTGAGGCCCAGGTTGTCCGACAGGTGGACCCGATAAGCAAGAAAATCCCCGCGGAAAAGTTCGTGAGGTGAGGCTCGTGCCCCTTGAGGTCGCAAGGAGAGAAAAAAAAAACAAAAAAAAAAACAAAATGAATTTGATCTCGCGAAGGTTCGTGGAGAACCAGCTGAGGTTGGCGGAGGAGGCGAACGACAAGCTGAACCTGAAGATGATAACGACGCGGCAGCTGATTCGCCAGGCCAGGAGGCAAATAGACCTGGGAGCTGAGGTGGGGAAGACCCTTCGGCCGATAGACTTTGAGCGGGTGGCCATCGAGAACGAGCACCTCGCGGAGGAGAACGAGAGGAACGGCCGGTCCCTCGCGGCCCTCAAGCGAATCAAAAGTACGTTATAACGATGATGTTTGCAAACGGTGACCCGTCGAGCGGTGGATTAACGCGCGGCGAGTTTATACAGGGCATTACAGTTTGGCGCTAAAGTATCGCAAGGAGGGACTGGCCGAGAGGAAGTCGAGGCTGCGGGTGATCGAGAGGAAGCTCGAGCTGGGGGAGCGCGAGAACGTCGACTTGGAGCGTAGGAGGGCAGTGACGAGGCGAGAGGTGAAATGGACGCAGAGCCGGCTGGACGATATTAAGGAGCTGCGGGATAATTACGAAAAACCGGAAGTCGCCGACTTCCTTCGGGTTCAAAAACAATTGCAGGAAGAGCTTAGGAGGCACAAGCGGCTCAAGCGACGGCGGAAAATTCAGCTTTTCACGCTACGACCCAAGAATTGAATTTCATCCTCACTGTATGTATTTGTTGCTTTTTTTTTATTTTTTATTTTTTATTATTCGGGACCTCGTAAAACTCGCGTATACACCTACATATATATGCCATAGTACTGCAGAGTCAATTTTCAATAATAGGAAGGAATAAAAAAACGAAAAAAAAATAAATACAAGTGTACTTATAAGTCACAGCCACACCCCAAGTGACGAGGGTCGAGAAAAATCTCCGAGTTGTCCAAGAAAGTATTATAAACAGGAGGATGACTACTGTACATACTAGTCTTTGCAGGTAAGGTACGAAGATAATATGTATGGATACACAAGTAAGTACTGGTAGGAGATTTTGGCGCGTGTGCGCGCGGTCACGCTTCACGCACCGGCAGTGCCTGTCCCTTCCTTCTCCGGCGTCGTCGGCGATAGACTATACGTGCTCCTCTCCGGAGAGGCTCGTCCTAGATATCTATGGGGAGCAGGACGGAACGAAAAAAAAAAAAAAAAAAAAAAGAAAAAAAGAGCCGTTCGACTGCGTGAGCTCTCCCGCATTACGGTCCGTGGACGCGTACCGGCAATGTCCTCCCTTGCCACGGCGACAAACAGTTTCTAAGGTAACCGCGGGACTCGGAGGTTTTGGGGGGGGATTTTTGTTGTTGCTCGGGTGCAGAGTTGTCTTGGTTTTTTTGCGAGAGGCATAAAAGTGCTTGGACCGCTCGAGGTGCACGCAACATGAAGACGCCAAGCGCCCTGGTCGCCTTTCAAGTCCTCCTCGCTTGCTGGTGCTCCGCTCGATATTTAGAGGTAACGTGATTGTTTATTATGTGGAAGTTTAATAATACCTTCAGCGACTCACATCTCCGTGGGTTGCGTTTAGTTTCCTGATCGCACTTATAGCAGCGCTTGCGGGTTAAAATAACGGGTAAAAATAATGTTATCTATATACTTATCGGTTTCACCTTTCTTTGCACACTTTTTTTTAGTGAATTTGTCGTTTCTCGTTTCAAACGATTTCAATTGGAAAATAAACAAAGAAACACAATAACTGCGTAACTCCGAATTTTTTTTTTTAACAAACATCACCCAGCCGTGCAGTTGCATCAAGTTCGAGCAAGTTCTAGAAAGAGCGTGGAGTTCGAGGAAATTTTCGCTGTATAATTTATCGTACGAAAACCGTTGTATTTAAAATGTTTTGCTTCAAACGAAGACTGTGGACAACAAAGTTTTTTCGACGCATAGGTAAAGAAAAAAAAAAAAAAAAAAAAACCATAAAAATCATCACTATACTGTATAAGCACAATAAATGGCACAAATAAGACTCGCTGCACCAATCGCTCGCGTATACTCTGGTATCATCCTCATTATCATGATAATGAAAGAAACTCGCGAGATGTGAAATCATCGCGTAAAAATCGGCAAGAAATAAGTGCTACGAGTATATTATAGTTACCCAAGACCATTGTCCGTCCACCAGCGGCAAGCTGCTGCAAGATTTAACGGTACATAGGTACCTATGCCCAAGATGATAGCGTTCGATAAGTATATGATGTACGGCGTCTCTCTCTTTCTTCGGTTCTCTCGGCGTGGACGGCAAAATGCCCATTGTTCTTCAAGTACAACCATTAGGACTTTGACAATATACAGCTAGGTTAATCAGCGCAGGCAGGCATGCGGGGAGTTGTCGTTCGAAATGGTCCCTCCCCCCAAGTGAAGACAAACAATAACACCTCGACAACTCCGCGCGGATATTTTACTCATACTTGTTGTAATCAACACGTTCAGATGCACACGCGCTCGGAAATGTACATCCTACCTGTAATATGTCACGGCCGCGATTTAATGGTCACTCAAGTGTTTGACAATGTCCCATTCGACAAGAGTACAATTTATGATGTACATATACCTTTTTTATCATTGTACATATCATATTGCGTATAGGGTTTGAACGTGAACTTGGGCGAGGCGCTGCAATTTCTTCGCGAATACGATCGCGAGGCGTCGGGCTTGTGCTACAGGGTCATGACGGCGCAGTGGAACTTTGCCACCAACATTACCGATCACAACAAGAGGAAAATGGTGAGTCCAGCTTTTCAGGTACATTATTGTCCGATCGAATAGTGTGAAATAGCGCGGGAATAAGACAATACGTGTTATACGGTGGCGGGTCCAGCTGGAGGAGCAGTCGGCCAAGGTGAAGTTTGATCGCGCATCCTGGCGAAAGACCGTTAGTTTCGCTTGGACGCGGATAGCCGATCCCTTGGCGAGGAAGCAGCTCAAGATGATCGCCGTCAAAGGTCGGCACGCGCTTACCGATGACAAGTTCAACGAGGTAAAATATACCCGATCCACCTCTGGATACTTTCAAGACAACGGCCCAACAATAAATATTTACACCCCATGTGATTGCAGATGCACCACCTGATTATGGAAATGAAAGAGTTGTACAATAGAGTGAGGTTGTGCCCGTACCGAAAAATCGGAGCCCCCTGCGAGTTGAGTTACGACGCAGGTAGGAATATTATTATTATTACTATGTGCGCCCCTTATTTTATCCCTCTGTATATGTTCTTGTCTTTGGTGGTGGTAGGTAAAACAAAATAAATAAACGTGGTCGGACACTTGAGAATTTGTCAAGTCCTGTTTAATGCTGCTTTTTCTAGATTCTTATAATTATAAAATCACAGATGTCGCCGCGATTATGTCCCAATCGAAGGACTACGACGAGCTGTTGCATTACTGGCAGGCGTGGCACGAGGCCTTGGGTCCGCCCTTGAAGAACAAGTACATCCGATACGTCCAGTTGGCGAATCAGGCTGCCAAACTCAGCGGTGGGTATATAAATCACGCTAAAATAACGGCTGTGTTTTACGTTATACGTATGTTGAAAAAAAAAAAAAAATCCAACGGTGCAGGATTTGCCGACGCGGGTGACCAGATGCGGGAGATTTACGAGGACGACTACTTCCAGCAAAACATCGCCGAGGCGGTGTCGGCCGTGACGCCGCTCTACAAGCATCTCTTCACTTACGTGAGGAGCCGGCTGATCGAGAGGTACGGCGACAAGATACGGCCCGACGGGCCCCTACCCGCCCACGTGCTCGGCAACATGTGGGCCCAGAACTGGGAGGGGATTTTCCAGATCGCCCAGCCCTTTCCGACCGTCAAGAAGCTCGACGTCACCCTCGACTTGATGCTCCAAGGTTTCACGTCTCTCAGGTCGCTTTGACTTTGCACTTTGCGACACGCACGCGTAACATATTGTATATTCATTATACGTATGTTTTTTTGCTCGTGCATTTTGGGTGCAGAGTCTTTCAAATGGCGGAGGAGTTCTTCACCTCAATGGGAATGAAACCGATGCCCCCGGAATTCTGGAAATACTCGATGTTCGAGCAACCGATCGACAGAGAAGTCAAGTGCAGCGCAAGCGCCTGGGACTTTTGCAACCGGGCCGATTACAGGTCGATACTTATTCATCATTCATATTTCGCACTCGAGCAATCATTTGAGGGTTTTTTTTTTTTTTTTGTTTTTTCAATTGCAGGATCAAGCAGTGCACGAAAATAAACACCGAGGACTTTATATCGACGCACCACGAAATGGCCCACGTGCAGTATTACTTGCAATACAAAGATCAGCCGTACCTGTTTCGAGGCGAGGCGATGCCAGGTGAATACAAAAAAAACTACTTTTTGCTTTCCAATTCAGATGACGATTTTTCGCTAAAGTATACCACACAATCTCCAAAGGGTTTCACGAAGGCGTGAGCAACGCGATCGGCCTGTCTGTTTTTACGCCGCAGCACTTGCACAGGGTTGGCCTTTACAACAACTCCACGGACGATTACGAGGGCAACATTAATTTTCTGATGCTCATGGCTTTGCAAAAAGTCGCCTATCTGCCGTTTGCCTACATAGTCGACCAGGTGGGCAATCCCCCCCTTTTTTTTTTTCCTTTTTCACCAATCTTGCACAATTTTTCGATTGATTTTGATTTTCCCTGCAGTGGAGGTGGCGCGTGTTCAGCGACGGCGTCGCCGACATGACCACCAGGTGGTGGGAGCTGCGACTGCAGTACCAAGGCATACTACCGCCAGTCCCGCGTACCGAGAGGGACTTTGACCCGGCCTCCAAGTACCACGTACCCGCGGATCTACCCTATTCCAAGTACACCACCATTCCAACTCTAAATATCTCTAATTTTCGGGCGATGACTGTACATATATGTATAACTTGTCTTGCATTTTACAGCTACTTCGTCGCAGTGGTACTTCAGTTCCAGCTTTTCGAGTCGCTCTGCGACATCTCCGGGCACACGGGGGACCTGCACACCTGCGACTTGTACCGATCGCGAGAAGCCGGTCGATTATTATCGTTAGTAAAACACGAGATGATTTTCATCTTTGTCTGTGTACGGATGGAATAAAAAATGTACATGTTTTGACGGCAGGGACGTGCTGTCGGTGGGTTCTTCCATGTCGTGGTCCGACGTGATAAGGCAGATGACGAGGGGTCGGACCAACAGGCTGGACGCGGGTGCCCTGCTGAGGTACTTCAAGCCGCTGATCCAGTTCCTCAAGCGGCACAACCGGCTGGAGCCCGTGATCGGCTGGGTCACGAGTCAAGAGGACGCGGGTACGTCTGTTCTTTTTGGCTGTATGCTTGATTTTTTTTTTTTTTTTTTTTTTTTTTTTTGCCGCGTCAGAAGCTAAACCTTTCCGAACTTTGGATTGTGCAACTCGAGTATAACGTTAGGCATGTCTACGTCGTTTGCAGCGCTGTTCTCCCACTGGTACCTCGGCGGCGCGAGTTCACCGTCGATCGCGGCGCTTCTGGTGCCCTGCCTGGTGGTCGCTCTGTTCTTCCATCGGACGCAACAGCGATGAGGCCAATAGTGCGGGGACAAAAATTGTTGCCTTTGTTATTATTGTTATTATATCGATGATGAGTAATTTATTGGTAAGTGTAAATAATTATGGATACGCTGCTGCATGTGGGTATGTTTTTAGTTTGAACGTTATGAGCAAAAATGTGAACAAAAAATATACAGGTATTAGGTTTCTGGAGAAATATCTTTTGCAAGGTTTTATTTGAATTATTTGACCGTTTTCACCGAAACTGATAATCTATGTGTACAAATTGATATCATTTTGAATTTTTCATAAATGCTTTGAATAATTACTTAATACGTCGACCAGATTTTATTGAGTATTATAATCTTTGTACATACGCATATTTATACCCAAATGTTTATTAAAATTTTGCAATAAAATGTGTGTAATTACAAAAGTAGGCTAATAGTTACTCTATTTACTTTTTGAAGTTAAATTAGAATAGCAAACGTACTGTACGTACACAACGTTAAATTAAGTACATAATTATTTTATTTATATGTATAGTTTTTATTTTAATAGTAGTCGTAGATGTGAGATGTCCTTTAGCACTCATTCATTAACCATGAGCATTTCTAGGAAAATTTTCGGGACAAACGAAACTTCAAGCTGTACTGATTTACTGAATAATTTATTGATGTATTGACATTTTACTCAGGATAACGATAAAATAATATTCTAGTTGTCTTGACAATTTTTTCAAGAATTTGATAAATCTGTCGTTTCGAACATGTTTTCAAGGTGACAGGATTTCTAAAATCGAGACAAATTCGAGAAAAAAATTTCACTAGTCTAATGTGCGCCGTAGTTTCTTAAAGTTATTTTCACCTGCACAGAGAGGTAAAATAATATCTCTATTTTTAAGAGGTATTTAAGAAAAAAAAGACAATTTTTATGCTGTGGAATGTTTTTAAAAATAATAGACACATTACGGGTGATCTCCATCTATTTCTAGGGTACTTTCTTTTACATGAAAATCTGCATACTTATCAAAAACATATTGAGCCTTGTAATATGCAGCTTTTACAGAAAAATTTATATTGGCACAACGACTTAAATGCACCAAACTGTATTATTTATAATAAGAGCGAGCTATGATAAAAATATTGTATTTGTTTTTTATCAAGTAGATATTGAACACAGCTAAGACAGTTCATATACTGATGGAATTAGTGTATTTCTAATTAGTATTTGTTACAATGGTATCAAAGAGTCGAATACTTTCTATAAACCATACCATTTTCAGAAATACTTTTTAACTTTTTTTAAACTATCATAAAAAATGTAAGCTACATTGTGTTCAGAACGATGCTATTTAGTAAAGAAAAAAAAAAAAAAAAAAAAAAAAAGATACAGAAGTTGGCTTATTACGTGACATGATTGTATACATCTCCCTATCACAATTTTCACCATCCCTCCCAAGTATCACGATGAAGAAAAGTCCTTAATCCCATTCAGACCTTTTGCCAGATCAAAGTCTTATTATTAGCCGGCATGTTGATGCTTTCAAACAGCTGTATCCCATTCTCTCTGGCGAGCTTCTTCAAGTCTTCGATATCTCGGACGCCCCACTCGGGATTCTGAGTTCTCAAATTCTCGTCGAACCTGACGTTGCTCTCTGGCGTCAACTTGCCATTGAAGGCATAAGGCCCGTAAGTGAAAAGAAAAGCTTTGGTCTTCAGTAGGTGGCCGGCATTGCGAAACAGGCCCACAGAGCACGCAAAAGGTGAGATGTGCATGAGATTCGCGTTGTAGATGTAGTCGAAGCTATTCTCCCGGAAAATCTTGCCTTGCCCAGGCCAGGTGCGAAAGTCGCTGGTGATGTCGATTATCACGGGCTTCGCGACATTACTTAGTCCATGACAGTGGGCTTCGATGCTCTCCAATAAGCGGTTCTCGTACTCGGAGGGGTAAAACATGACTTGAGGAAAGTGGGGTGCGAAGTGCGCTACGTGCTGGCCGGATCCCGATGAAATCTCGAGAAAATTTCCTTGATGTAAATACGGTGATATCACGCCAAGGATCGGATCGGCGTTGCGATTGGCGGCAGGATAAATTAGTTTCGCTGAAGCCATCGAGCTTGATCTGCAACGATTCATTAGTTAGTTTAATGTTTAAGATAATTTTGCATTCAGCAACCATCAGTTCTTATTCATACTTTTGAATCACCAAATTTTTAGTTTCAATTTATCAAGTTCAGAGTTTTCAACATTCCAATTTTCTGGAACAATTTTGTTTTCTCAAAAAAGGTAAATTTATAATTGCAATCTGATACACAAATTTTGTTCAAGTTTGACAGTTTAATCAACAAGTGTATTATTAAGAATTATTTTAATTTTGTATCAAATTACCTATGAGACGCTGCACAATGAATTATATTCATTTTCCATGAAAATAAGTAAAATGAGCTGAAAAGATTATTTGTTCATTAACATGAAAATAAATTGATGTGTTTAGTTTTTTAAAAACAATAAGGAAACTTAAATAATAAATAAATATATCTATAAGTACATTAATTTTATTATAACTTATTTTGAGCAAATAAGTCACAGACTTCGTTATTATAATACATTTTGGAAGATATGAACAGTAATTTTTCTTTACTTAAAACAATTTAATCACTATTTTCTTCCTTTGATTTTCCTTTTTTTTTCACAGCCCTATCCACAATTTTTTTAACTTTTGTCGATTCACTCAAATAAACAGAATGCCCAGTTTTTTTTAAATGTTCAAACAGTTTATTTTTACTAGGAAACTCTTGCTTGCACACTGCACAAGTATCATCTGGATGTTCCACTTCTGTTGATTTCGTTGCTTTTCTTGTCCTGTCGTTTGTTTCTCTTGCTTCTCCAGCTGCCTGTCTCTGAGCTTTCCTCAGTTCCTTGGCTTTTTTGCCTTTCTTCTTTCCTGGTACAGGAGATACGGTTTCCTGAGGGGAATCATCATCGCTCTCCTCAGCTTTACCCTGACTTACACTTATACTATTGGAGGCAGTATTCTTTACATCCTTTTCAGTATTTACATCTGTACTAGTTTGACTTTTAGGGGCAAGTTTATCAATCATGATTTTTCTCTGTAGTTGCTTCTTGCGCTGTTTTTTTGACAATCCCTGTGCAAGATCCATCTCTTTTTCTTCTTCATCACTGTCTTCAAGAATTGACACTCTGGCAAATTTGTTCTTCTTTTTTTTTTGTTTTTTCGATTTAGGCACAAGATTATTTTCTTGGTCGCTTACCACCTCTTCTTCTTGAGTATCGGAATCATAGCCATCTTCATTGTTTTTGTCCTCCGACTTACCAAGAATGTATCCTTGGCTAGTCCCAACTGGAGATCGAGCTCCATCAGGAACTTTACTGACTTTATCATCTACATCTGAGCCTGACATTTTTTCTCCATCAGACGTTTTTGCATTTTCATCTTCTTTGGATGGTGGGGGTGGGTTCAGTAAAAAGTCAGGCATTTCTGAACCTGTTGCAAGCTTTGTGCCAGGAGGCAGTTTTGACTTTAAATCAAAATTCTCAGAATCGTCATCTTCACTCTCATCTCCGCTTTGGTATTTAGCATCTTCTTCAACCATTGATGCTTTCAAAGTAGCGAAATTATCCTTATGTTTTTTGGAATTCTCATGATTGCTGAAAGCTTTTTGGGTTTTAAACAGTTTTGTACAAGCCACACAATAAAGAGCATTAGAATCTTCTACGGCAAAACTATCTTCTTCGCTGGATAACTCTTCTCCAAATTCCGCTGCTAAAGTTGCTTCAATGTTTTCAAGCTCTGACTTCATGTTTGAAAATTTAGACCACTCGGACTCTTTGTGATCTTTCAGTTGTTTTTGACGCTCCAACAACTGTTGCTTCTTTTTTTCTTCATTTTTCTTTTTGTTTTCTTTTGCTTTTTCTTCAAGCTTCTTACTATGAGCTTGCACTCTTTTGTCACGTTTACGTACAAATGCCACTAAATTTCTTACTTGCTCGTTTCTCTCTTTCTTTGCCTTATCCCTGACTTTTTTGTTTTCCTTTTCCATTTGCCTAAGAGTCCATCTATTAGGAGCTTCTTTGATGTTGTAGACTTCTAGCCATGCATAAGATCTTTTAGTGCTATAGCTTTGCCAGTAGCCATAAAACCTGTGAACAACCTCATCATAGGGACTCTCCGAGTTACCAAAACTTGGAGCCTCTTCATCTGAATCATCTTTGTTGAATTCTTCATCCTCAGCAGCTAACTTTTGAAAAACCTTACGATACACCGTGTAAAATCCTTTCTCATCATCATTGTAACCCTTATAGCAGGAGGTAGAAAAATATCGGAACAAATCTATAGCATCGTCTTTGTAATTGTCTCCAATACCACCTTTTAATATAGCCTCCCTGTGATTGTCATACCATGCTCGCTCGTGATGATCACTCAGTACCTCATAAGCTTGCTGTACAAGTTGGAATTGTTCTTTGGCTGTTTCTTGGGAATTCAAATTTTTGTCTGGATGCCATTTTAAGGCTAGCTTACGATAGGCCTTTTTAATTTCATCGTCGTTGGCATTCCTAGGAATTTCTAGCACCTCGTAGTAACATTTCATCTTACTTAAAAATTAAATAGCTTCAACCAAATATATTTATTTTCAACTACTACGTTTACTAATTCAACTTAAAAACACGCTAAGGCTGCATTACGTAAGAAAAATGACTTAATACAGTGGATATCAACAAAAAGGGAGTACTTAGTAGTTTTCCATTTCTTCAAAATTGTTTGTTTAGTACACACTGTGCATTAAAGTAGATACTTTTGCTTCAAACACAGGAATGGCACAATATTTGATATCAAGGTCACATTAGCTGGTGGATTTTAGTTTTTTCGTTAATCTTTACTCCTTAACAATTGATGTTTGATAATATTTGTGACTGAAACTTTGAGTTTTTAAATTAAACCAAGCAACGAAGCAACAGCAATACTAACACAACAAAAACAGATCAATCACCATAAAAGGCGGCGGCACCTCCCTTGGAGGTTATGGATTGTTAGTTTATACTTGCATGGTGTGTGTGGGGGGACTCCCCTAGTAAAGTATATATAGTAGCAGTATGGGTGATGCATATATATATATACATTTAATATGCTATACTATAGATGCAATAAGCGTGGGTGTAATACATGTATTGAATGTAAGATGATGCGCGTCACGACCAACTACATTGTAAAACGGAGCGAGGCGAAAGTCAAAGCAAAGAGCAATACTTATATATACTTAGATAGAATGTCAAATGAAATCGCAAGAAATACAATCTCATGTATATATAGTTAAGCTTAGTAAGCAGAAAAGTGACTTATTTTTATCTTGTGCTTACCAACTATAGTTATATAGGCTCTTCTCTCTCTCGTCTCTCGACTGATACAGCGCCACTTGCTGCAACGTGGTGGACGGCCCAAGTACAATCAGTTGAGTAATAATATTTAAAGTCTTCTATTAATCTTCATTCTACTTTATTTGATAACAATCATAGTCTCAAATTCACGCTCGTAAGACTTAGTTTTTTACATTTCAAAATTGCCATACCAACGCGCGTCAACAATGCGATAAGCATCGATTCATCAAAATATTTGACACCTATCGCAAATAAATCGATACTTATCGCGCGCACTTCTCACCGTGTTGTATAGGGTGTGTTCCAGTAACGCTCTCCGACAACTTACTGACAACTTAATTATGTCTTACGATATCTTGCGTCATGTTTAAGTTGTCGGTAAGTTGTCGGAGAGCGCTACTGGAACACACAGATACCATTCCGACTTTCCTGTGTTCTTTGGTCAAGTGTTATACCATTATATGGTATGAGTGATGGTATGAGTGAGTTATACCATTCCGCCGTTCCTATATTATAGGGTTACTGGGTTATACCATTTCAACGTTCCTATTTTATGGGATTGCTGGGTTATACCATTCCGCCGTTCCTGTTTTTTGGGTCAAGTGGGGTTATCCCATTCCGCCGTTCCTATTTAATTGGGTCAAGTGCAGGGTTTATACCATTCCATGCTGCTGTTCGTGTGTTATTCGAAGTGTTAAGCGACTAGTAGCGCTGCCCTGAGGGTTCGATTTAGAACTATATGTTTCCCCAAAGAATGGGTTCAAATCGTCGCGGTCGCAACGACGTATAAAATGAGTTTTTCTATTTCCTTAACCGATTTAATGGATTATGTGAGTCAAGGTTCACGCAAATACGTGTAAGGTGAAAATGTGGCCAACGCCAACCACATTTTTTACTGTGCTATCGAGGCATAATCGTCCAAAGAAGTAAAATTAATATGTTTGTGTTTGAAGTCCACTGAAATATGATTAAAAAAATAAAAAATCATCAGTACGACCGCGACGGCTTGAACGCATACTTTGGGGAAACATATAGTTCCAAATCGAACCCTCAGGGCGGCGCTACTAGTCGCTTACCACTTCGAATGTTCGAATACTATTCCTTTATTTCTGTACTCTGTAGGTGTAATCCGCAATCGCCATCAGTCAGCAGTTATGTGATATATATTTGAGCCCAATAAACAGTCTAGAATTAAAACAGTTGCTACAACTATACGGCACGGCTCTACAAAAGCAACCCTGTGTTGCTTTATACACAAGTTATGAGACCTGCATATACTTCACACCATCAGAGGCCACCGATGGCCGCTGTACATCATTGATAATGTATAGGTACATTAGAAAAGCAGATGACGTCGGTCTATAGGTATGTTCGGGAACTGAGATTGGGCATGCATCGTCGACCCACGGCTGCCCACGCGAACCTGGGTCCGTACCATATAACTTTTCTTCGCTTTGCGGGCCTATGTTAAAACATAGAAAGAGTTATATGGTACGGCTCCTGAGCTCAACGAAAGAACGCTCGTTCTCCAGAGGTTTCCGGCGTCTTCTGGCGAGAATCAGCTGGCCACTTAGGGTCCTGATTGGCTGGAGTTTTTCCTTTTAACGTCCTTTCGCCCCCCTGTACCTACTCTGCTGTTTGTTGTGTTTGCAAACTAACAAATCACACTGTCTTATATACCTATGTATCAGCTGATTCTCGCCAGAAGTTGCCGGAAACCTCCGGAGAACGAGCGTTCTTTGGTCGAGCTTTGGTCAGCGCGGGTAGCCGTGTAGACGGCGTTCGCCCAATCTCTGTCCCCGAACATACCTTATGTACTTACTTTTTTCGCGACATTTTCCGACATTCTGTCGTCTGCTTTGTTTTGTTTACCCAGTAAAAAAATTTCGAAAGCTTATAAGTCTATACTTACTAGCTAACGCAATATAAATGATGAATTTTTTTCAACGCTGGTAGTAAATCTTGGAATCGTTTTTTACAGTATACGATCAGAAAAAGTCTCAAAAAAGAGCAAGTAGACCGAAGTCGTCCTCTTTTCTATACTGTATCAGTTATAGAAGAGCTATATATAAAAGCCTTTAAGGTCTTAATAAATCATAGTTTATATATGTATAACTGGCTGGTGGCGATCGAGAGCAGAGCAGACTCTTTTAGTATTCTATATATATATATATACCTGC